TCATAATGGAACTCTAATCCTCAACAGGTAATTTATTTAAAAATATTATTAGACAGTTAAACATTTTACATGGTTGTTTTGTTAACTCTTTTGATGTTAAACAACTTAATTGCTTAACAATAATAAGTTTTATCTGTTTTCTATTCAATCCAACTAGATATGAAATAATTAAACGTCGGCTAAAATCAGTGATACAATGAGGATAAGTAAAATTTGCATTTTATAACAGTGATTTATCGTCTTGAAAACATACCATTTGATTCAAAATAAATTATTAACTTAACTTTAAATGTTTACCTAGCAAAACAAATGGAAAAATTGCGTTGTACAACATAGCTTAACATTCTAAACTGTAGAGTAAGTTGTATTTATTTTTTAGAAATTATATGACTTGATAAATAAAATATCTTCATATTTATGATAATTATATTTCACTTTCTGCATTCTAAAGTTGAAATTGCAAGAATAGTTGACACTCGTATTTTTATATAGCTATATACCTAACGCTAACTTATCGTTTAAATTGAAGAAAACTCATATCATATTTACATCTAGAAGAACGCTAACTCATTATGAAAAACATGAATAACAATCTGACTAACATGTGAACTGATATCGTAGTGATTAAAATATTCGGTCCATCCTTTTAGAAGGAAGTTAATTTGTACAACAAGTTAACTGCATTGATAAAACGTCACGATTTAGAAATGTATAGTAAATCCTTTATGTAATTAAAAGGTTAGGTAGATAAGTTCATTACACTGCTTAAGCACATTACATTAAGGATACTAATTATTTATTAACGTTAGTAAACAGTTGATGAGTACGTTATTCAGTTATTATAGATTGTATATATACATAATGTATAACTCCTCCTGGATCCCATCTAGGGTTATTGCCCCTACAAAGCCTGGATAAAAGGAGGGAGGTTGGGCATGAGGTCTACGACTCCATCCTGTTGAAAAAAACTTGCTGAGAAATACTATCCAGAAAACATCGTCTAAATCACTTAAATAGCCTTGTGAGTTGGATGGTTTTCATTTAGAGCAGTTATGGTGTCTCATATTTAAAGCCAAGTTTATTCGGAAGCTACGAGGTTGATGCGCTCTCTGACAACCAGAGCAATAACTAATATATGTACATTCTTACATAATAATGGAGAATGGGAGAACCATTCAAGCTGCTGCAAAAATGAAAATCTGGTGGTGCTTGGAATAACCGAAATCAATTGGACGCAGGCTGGAAAATAAGCATTAAGTTCAGGAGGGGCGCTGTGGTATCCCGCTAATGAAGAAGAAAATAACCCGCACACACAGAAGCCAATAAAGCACTTGTAAGATTGGAACCTCACGAACCCAGGATCATTAAAGCATCCTTCATGAGAAAGAAAGAGGAGATTACAATGAAAATGAAACCTTTACATATGTGGGCATCATGAGCATGTACGGATTAGCAAAGCAATGGAAGAATTTCTACAATTGAAGAACACCTGGAAATCAAAACAACTATCAATTAACACCAAAGTCACAATTTTCAATACTAACGTCAAAACTGTTTTATTGTATGGAACGAAAATTTGCAGGACTACTAAAGCTTTCATCCATAAGATGCAGGCGTTTAGTAACAGTTGTACTGTAAATTGACTGGTCAGACACAAGGAGCAGTAACCTACTATGGGAGAGAACAAACCAGACTGAAGCTGAGGATGAAGTTAATAATAGGCACCAGATATGGATAAGACACATTACGGAAATCACTCAATTGCGTCACAAGGTACTTATTAGCTTGAAATCTTCAAAGCGAAAAAAAACACCCGAAGTCAGGAATCTCTGGTAGACATAAAACGAATAAATAGCAACTGGGAACAAGTGTAAAGAAGAGCCCAGGATAGAGATGGTTTTAGAATCGCAGTCGGCAACCTATGCTTTATTAGGGGCAACAGGCGTACCTAAGTAGGATATAGTGCGATTTTGAAAAAGCCGAAGGGAAATTTATAGACACAAATAAAATGTATGCAAGAATTTCCAACTACCGTAAATTAATAATAGAAAATAAAATAAAAACTTACTGAAAAATTTATTATAAAGTCACTTATGACGACTGTTCAATCCTGAGGATGCATATATATATCATAGACATATTATTATTAATCTCAAATGTTCGTATCCTAATGTCAAATCATGCACTAGAGAACCGATATGATGTCATATTACACAAGCCTCGGTTTGACTACGGTTAAATCGATAATCTCCTAATCGTTCATAAGATGAGCTGTAATAATATGTTGAAGAGTGTGTGCGTTCCTTTCCTATGAAATATTCTTCTTAAATATTGAATGAATAATCTGATTATTTATATTTTCAATATTTTCAATACTTAGACAAATTCATACTGTTAGAAAAAATCCCTAAACTTATTAACAACTTAGAAATTGATTTGAAACTCAGTCATGAAACAAAGCTTCACTATGTCTTTACGGACTACTTTTGTTATGGTCTGTCAACTTTTGTTTGGAAAATGCTCAACTCTGAATATATTTGACATAAATTATTTTAATCTTAAGATACAAACAAGAAATAATATGAAAATTTTCTGAATCATTTATCCAATAGAATGTTAATGACGGTATATCTTGTCTACGAATAAATAATCAGTTTTCATAGATATGAAAATGGAAATTTTGAATGGGGTTCTTTTAGATTATTCTAAATTTTTGTTTCGTAATTCAGTAGTAGTGAATGTTCTTGTGTGAATAAACGAAGATTTTAGAAAAACTTTAGTCAACTGATTAATATAGTGTCATTCGCGACTGCATAAGATTGTCACTTTCTGTAACGACATTATAAATAATTCGTTGAATATGGATAGTGTTTTCCCGATGATAATTAAATTGACGTCAACTGAATTTTAACTAAATTTTCAAAACCAATAAAGTAGAGTTTCGGTGATATAATCAAGTTTCACAGTTTGTACCATCCACTGATTTTAGTTAGATAATCAATGAAAACCGGTAAGCATTGGAAGTCTATTTCGTCCTAGTCTAATGCTCTTCAGCAATGCTTATTCGAAACTTCGTCGGAAATTGAGTGCTGGTGTTCTACAGTTCTTTCTCCCGTAAAATCTTAGGTGGCCTTTACTGAAGATCACTACACCGACAGGAAACATCTTACAAGTCCCCTCTGGTTTCCAGAAATTGTCAAAGTCCAGTTTGCTATGTATACTGCAAAATTTGACGATCTACCTCAACAGCTTATAGTAAAATTAAAATGTTATTCTATCACTAGTGACTAGGTGACCAAATATTTCATTAAAAAACTGACCAAATTCCATAAATACAGACTTTTTAACATAGTTTAATTGACATTACTGAGATATGAATCAAGTGTCATATATATAAGACTAACATGGAAAGTTATTTTCATAAAACACTATTATTAAGGATTCGTGTTCTTAAGAATAAATCAACGAAAACAGTTATCCTTGGGAGACTTCATATATTCTTCTACGCAAATAAGATCTTCACAGAATATTGATGATATTTAATTTGTTTCGGATAGATATTTCAATAAATCGTACACCTATTTGATTTGTCATGAGATTAATATCAAAAGAAATAAAAAGTTTCAAGGAAAATTTCACAAGATCCTAGTGACTATATAACATATATAAAATCTTCATTTACTGTAATTTGCAAGAATTATATTTTGAATACATAATGAATTTTTCAGCTATGAATTTATTTTCCCATTTCAAGGCTAAAATAAAAGTTCGTCAAGAACATTTGTCATTTATAAGCTGAGTAATCTTACTTATACACAGTGGCTCAAGTGTATATTATACGTAAAATCGAGCCTAAAAACTAAGTGGTTCTGAAATTCTTCACAGGAGTAAAACCACACCTTATAAAGCTTTTGAAATAATCAGCAATATAGCTCTTAGATTTTAATCAGGTGAAGAAAATTCGTGAGTAAAATGGTTTCATATTATCACGCTACAATGTGCTATTTAAATCTGAACTCTTAATAGTGAGGCCGGAAAAGGAATATTTTATCTTCCCCGTGAGTAAGCATCAATGACTAATCGATGCATTATTTTTGAAGCTTATAACTTTCCGTTTATTCCGAAGATGATTCATTTCACACTCTAAAGTTAGCCGAGGATTATCGAACTTGAAATAAATGAATAACTAGTACTTTGAATAGTTAATTTATAATAAATACTGATAACAGTTACGAAACGCGTTTAATAAATTAAAAAGGTTCTATATTGATTGGAACGTAGTGTATCTAAAATGCTTAAGATAACTAAAAACTGTACTTAAAATTCAGGTTTAAACTTTATTCTAAAAGAAGAAAGTTATTCCAGAAACTAAGTTTCTACTTACCTCTCAGATTGATCATTGTTCTTAATCTCAACTTGAACAGCTAGAAAAAAATACTGATCACTTTTAGTATTTCGTCTATAAAATTTGTCTTTAATAAGTATAAAGTGATTGACGATTACTGACAACTATCATGTTTATCTAGTCAGTTAGTGCTGATCAAATTCCATCGATCCCGATGCAGTGGGTCTACTGATCTGACTGACCCAAAAATATCGATAACCTTTTACAGATGGATATGTTCTTTGAAATAAGTTTGGGATAATTTTTCATTTTTACGGGTATAGATTCACAGAATAAGTGCGGTTTTACTTCACAAATTACATCAAAGTTTCAAATGGAATAAGTCAACTGCCAAACACTTCCTAAATTCATTGTTCCTTCAAACCACTTCGACCGACAATGACTATCGGCTTCAAATACAAGCATTATACTAAGCGGTTCATATATAGAAGTTTCAAAAGTATAATTTCTTCCTTAGTTTCTGTTTTATTATACAAGATAATGGTGAACATGTGAACATGTATACGATCTCATTCGTAATAATATTCCCCACTAGATCTTAAGTGCATTGAACGAAACCAACTTAAAATCCATCACAAAACAAAATATGACTTACTTAAATTTTGCATAATAAATCCCAATAATTTTGGTAAGAAAATGTATCCTTTATTTTGTTTTTTTTATTCCACTGAAATTTGCAATTTGAATAAAATATTGTCAATGGTTATGGTTGCATTTACTATTTTGAACCATATTAATGGGTTAACCAATTAGAAAAAAGGACTAAGCATGGACGAATAGGAATTCGAAACAAAAACAGTAAGCTGTAATACGTATTTATATGGATAGTTTTTGAACAAAAACATAGAAACTTCACATAAAAACGTAATAAAAAATAAATGAATAGATAAATGAATGAGTTTAAAAGTGAATAATTAGTGTTTTGTTTACGAATTCTATTCACTTTAGGTTCTAGCTTCCGTGTATACCACTCAATGCCTATTACTTTAATAAATTTGAAAGTGTATTTACTTAGGTAATCGACAGATAAATGAAGAATAAATTACCAATAACAACTATGTAAAGTGATATATTTAAGCGGTCAAATAGCTGGTATGATGAGCGGTGCCAACATCTGAAGGTGATAAGTTCTAACCCCCTATATGAATGTTTGAGCGAGAAAGTGAAGAACATGAAGAGATCTATCTGACTATCACATAATATGAACAAATATTAGTGTCCATGAATTTATTCACTTCCTTAGAAAATAAAGCCATTTCTTGACTGATGATATTCATTCTTTCCTTAGGACATTTTCTGCTGGTCGTCCAGTGGTCTTCTGATTAGGTCTTTTCTGATTGGCTCCGTATATCAATAGCATTTTACACTACGGAATCTTCTGAATTATTTTAATTGATAGTGTCGACTTATAGACCTTTTATCATCGTTCTCTTCATAAAAAATAAATTTATATTATGTTACACAATACTAAGTAAACAATCCCTTCAGAAAAACACCATTAGATTTGCATTAACACTGATGTTTTTAATTTTTGCTACTTAATAATATCATGTTCATTTTACTTCGTATTCATTCAGTGTATAAAACAGAAATCATCATCTCTAAATTTGGAGATTGTCATTTTCATCCCGATTCTTGTTAGAGTATAGGCTTCTCAAAGTAACTATATTTACTGGTGATTTCGGAGTGCATTAATAATGATAGACTCAATCACACGTAAGAATCATATATTATTGTAAGAAGTAACTGGTTTAATCACTTATGATCAACTAAATGAATACAAGGGTAAAGCATCCAGAAGCATTTGAATGAGTCTATGCAATAAAATTCACTAACCTATAGGAAGCTATTTTTATTGAAATAATGTATAGATTTTATATGTAAATGAAGCGTAAAAAAATCATTCAATAGTTTTTCTGTAATCTATAATATTATTAATTTAAAAGAATAGCAGTATTATGTCTACTTTATTAAAGAATAGTATTTCTAGTACTCAGAATGCTTATATTGCCATAGCGTGAGTTAGATTGGTATGACTTACTACTAAAGAAATCAAATAACTTCAAAAAATGTATTTATAAACTTGAAATTTATTGTCGGTATTTTCTCACAACTCATTGATTTAATCAGAACGAGGCTTACTTTTATAAGAGTAATGTTTTCAAATACAAACACTATCTAGTTACACTGAAAAAACTGTCTTCTTAAATTTATTACTTCTAAAAGACATTGACTTATTTATTGCATTACATATACTGAATGAGTAAAAAATCAATGCTGCTCTATCGACTAAATGAACGGATTTATCTTTTACTTCAGTTTATAATGAAATATTTGTTTTATATTTAATTTCTCCTAAAATATATATATTGCTGTTTCAATATTCGTCAATCAATTTTTAGTAACAATGACATAACTAGTAGTTTCAAATGAGTCATACAGCTACTTGCAAAACAATACATATATGTAGTAGTAGAAAAAAATGTTCCGACATTTTATGTTTTGTTTTAATTACTGATAAAATAAATACTCATGTAATACCTGTACTTAAGTGCGAACACGATTAAGCTTATGTTTTAGTTCACTTCATATATGCTACAAAATCAAAATGAAACATATACAGTTCACCTTTGAGACTGAATAAATCTTTAGGAATTCCACTTTTTGAATGATTACATAAGTTGTTTTACTTCTGACAATTCAGCATGACACAATATCCTAACTAAATAAAATAGAATTTACTGTGATACAAACAAAATATGTTCTACTAATTCATTGTCTGTGAAATATGACAGATTATTTTTGAAGATAATAATAATTTTAGAAAGAAGCATACAATTCCAATTTGACATATCAGACAGGCAATAGGTTAATTATTAAGTTCACTGTCGGATATCTTTTTTGAGGATATGAAATCTTTGTGTTATTATTGAATAACATTGGATGACCCTACTCAAGTAGGCCACTGGAGTTTACTAAGCGATAGTTCTTTTAAAACACCAATGACGACTGTGTATTTTCGATAGTCATTTATTCATTTTAATAATATCTGTTCGGTCTGACGATAGACATTTGGAAAATAGTTTGTAGGATTTATTTCTAGCTTCCAGTTAATTCAAAACAGAGTTTTTATATGTACGCAGTATTTTTAAAAACCAACATAATTACCATCTCCAATGCAGCTCCTCATGTTAGGTGAGCAATTTCTAATCCTAATTAGTCAAGTCGTATTCACTACAACTATTATTAATTGTCTGGTTAAGTGAACCAGTTTCATAAATGTGGCTCTATGTATTATTGACACCGAAATATGAATATAATGATAATTCTTTTTAGATTAATCAAAATAATAAGGTATGATTTGTATTCAAACAATATTCTGAATATATCTACGGGATGGCAAAACTATAAATGTTAAATAGGAGAATGTTGTTATGAATTCATTTTAGAATGGGATTTAAATGGATAATGATGTCCTTGGGTATGTTAATTGCCAGAACCGACATAGGACAATTTGAGACTTAGTTGTATTTGAAGCCCACTGAGGGAAATTAAATTCTTTCCAATAACTGTAAAAATGTAATAATCCAGAAAATCAACTGCGTATAGCCTATATTCAACAGAGCAAAAATAAAATTCAGCACACTGATCACACAAAGAAATAAAGAAATATATCTAATGAATGTTTTTCATTAAAGTGGCTGTTTAATCACTGCCTTCACAGATATTCATTTAACTCATTACTAAACCATAAAACAGTTTTTCCCGATCTACTTGATAACTTTTTCAGAAATTGTAACTAGATTACGAGTCTTATTTAGAATGGCCGTCACTCGCAAACCAACCAAATCACTTCAGTTTATTTTAGCTCAAACCAAACGTGAAATAACATCATCTACTAAAAATGTTGTTTCGGGTGCAAGCATATTACATTCGATAGGAAGTCACATTTTAACATCTTTGTCTACGCGAAATAACTGTTCAGCGACAAGACACAACATTGCTTTTATCAATACAGGTCGACGATTATGGACAGACGTTCAATTTTAAATCTTGACTGAGGAAGTAGGAAAAACCAGGAAAAACTTGCCACATGAACTTGTCCCCTAAACATCTTGAAGCAGACAGAGTGTAACTTTAAGACTGTAAAGTTTATAGATAATTCTATGATGAAGTATCAGATGAAAGAAAATATTTTAAATAAATGTGCATGAAATAATGAAACAAGTACTGACAACAAACATTCTTATCAGTTGTTAACAGAATTGGCTATCAATGAAGAGACTCCCAAAGACCACTTCTCTCTAGTAAAATAATGAAAGTTTCACATTTAAGCTACAGTGTAAACTGAATGCAACATTTATAAAATAATCATGAGAGACAGACCACTGTCTTAACATTGTTCAACCGTATAATGAGTACGTATTCTTCGATGCTAAAATTATTATGTTATATTAAAACGGTAATTCTCAACACGTAAGGCAAGGTGAACGTCTAAGCATTATTTAAAGAGGAAAACCGTGAATATATTTACAATAAGTAATATTTTTTTAGTAGTCCGTAATTCAGTTTTTACATAAATTGCAAGAAATTATTCGACCTGATAGAAGTCAAAAGTGAATCAAAGTTTGATATTCAGTATTTCGTTGGCACTTTGAAAATTCCCTGCTCATTATCAGTTTTAGACGAAACAAGTTTTTGGTAAAGATCATTGCTCCTTTCTTTTAATGGTAATAAAAGTTATTTTGTAAGCTTCAAATATTAAATAATTTTAGTAATTATCATTTAAATGAAGGAAACGCTAAAATATTCGTATCAAACGCTTGCAGTGATAATAAACCTTAGCATGACAAATAATTCTTTATTTCTTATTTTGAGATGAATGAAAATCCTAGAAATTTTTTTATGGTCTAGCAATTGACCATTGGCTTGTTATGAAGTTATGAACCAATAATTATCTTGAAAGGTAACTAGATTGATCATCCAACGAAAAATGGAAGAAAATGTCTTCTACTACGACAGTTGTGAATGCAGATCGTAATTAGTATAGAATGGATAAGTTGTAGCTAGCAGTGGAACCCAGGGCGCGTGAGCCATACTGTTTGAAACGTGATAATCTAGTCCCTCTCTATCCGCGATACTAGTTATAACGTTTTATAAGTAAAATCTTGATTTTACTTGAATGTTGTTACTTAATACACTAAAGTAAATATCTGTATAATAAAATGTCACTGAAACAACTAAGATACTGTCCATTATAAATTTTACTTTATAACCTGTAGATATGAAGTATCTCAGAATTCTGTTATTTATAAATAATTCATGAACATGAAAAGTCAACATATCTCAGATGTTTCGGTGCAACTAGTTCATAACAAATTATCCAGTATTTAATGACATGAACGCATAAGAATTCATTTGATCAAACATTAGTCGAAATAAACAATGGCCACTTGTTTCATCGAATATTTCCATCAAATTTAAACTTAGCTAACTTTCCACACAATCTTCTAATGCTAGAATTTGGATTTTGAGCAAAATTTTATTTGTAGAATTAAGCAAACTTGTTCTGCAAAAAATTCCTAAATCCATCTAAATAAATATAGGA